GGAGGGACCCAATGTCCCGTCCAATCGCCTCACTTGTATGGCGATCCTACATTCTCCAGCTCTTCCCCTTTTCCCTGATGAAGGCTTCCTCCTCGATGACAGAGTTCATCAGCTGTATGCCGGTGTAGCTCCTCTTTGTAGCGAAAGTAAGGGTGGGATTCCCCAGCGAGGTTTATCCCCTCCCTACCACGGCCGCCGATGAGCGGCAATCCCGCGTCTTCTGCGCCCGCGCCGTGGTCCTCCGCCTCCTCTATCCTGCGCGCCCGGGGGCACGTTCTCACCTCTCCTCACGCGTTCAGCCTTTTCTTTAGCGCGCATTACCCGCTCACAATAGTTTGCGAACGCCTCCCAAGCGTCCTCCCGCTCCACTATTGCGCCCACAACAGCAGGGAGCGACAAGTCCGCGCCGATCCGGTCCCTGAGAGCTTGACGCTGCTCGTCCCACGCCGGACAAACGCCCAGTGTGTGCTGGGCCGTATCCAGGTCCCCCTCACAGTGGTGACAAGCCGGATTCGGCTCACGGCCTATTCGACACAGGTACTCACCGAAGCACCCATGCCCGGTGAGTACCTGTGTCGTTCTGAACGAGGCCCTCGCCCAGGACCTCTCTAGCCAGGCCTCCATACACGGAAGAATGGCGCTGATCGTGCGCTGGCCTGGACAGTCAGGGTCCGCGAGTCGGACCTCCCACTCTCCCCTGGCTTCTCTTCTCGCCTCGAGATTAATTAGTCTCCTCGCCCTCCCAGTGATGGGGACCCCCTGCGCCTTCAATTCGGCGATACGCTTGTAGGCGTCGGTGTACGCCCGCGCGATTAAATCAATCGGGGGCATCCCCGCGAGGAGCGTTGCCGCCGCGTGCGACACCGTCCTGTAACCTCTCGTTACACGAATAGCCATCCTCCGCTGCACCCTGCGGAGCACGGCCAAAGACCTCCTATCTGCCCCAATCTTATCGGCCCAGATCGGGGCCCCGTAGAGAGCGGTCGAGTGGGCAACGTGAGCATAGAGTCTCCTCGTGCGGCCACTCGGGCCTCCCAGGTTGGGCATAACGCGAGACAACGCGTTCGCTGTCGCATCCAACCTGGGGGCCAGCTTGTGGACGTGACCTTTAAAGTCCCATAACTGATCAATGTGGAGCCCTAAGTATTTAATACTCGACCCCACCCTAATCCGTTCGCCCGCCA